ATATACGACAGGTCTGGACCACTCGTAAATTTTGTTCGTATCTGCAAAAAATCTAAGACAAAGAAAACATTGGTGAATGCCACAAATTCTCCTAAATCACTCGTACGCACAACTTAAGAACAAATCTGTGTGTACGAACGGTTCTTGCATGAGGCCCAATGTGTTTAAAGCTGGGAGTCGTATTGGACAATAAAACCTGTCAAGAACCAGAACTTTAGTGATTCGGATGGTACAGATGAAGACGCAGGAGAGCACTGCAGGACAAACATCTGTATTAAGTGTTCCAGAACAGTGATGACTCAAATTAGAGATATGAGAGAAATATGGATGATGCCAAAACTGTACAACACGTACACTGTGTGCCAATACATGTCTGATCTACGAYTGAAATATAAGAGAGAGAGAAAGAGAGATGACAGTGTTGGTATGAAACAGACCTGGTCCAAATTACCTGCCATTTATGGTAAAATAACGTTACAAATAAAGCAGCTCACATCAGAACTCTCCAGATAAGTACTGAGAACGTTTCATGACAACACTGTCCACTCTTTCACTCAGTGTTGGAGGAGGTGGGACAGAGGGGTTTGTCAGGGTTATGGGAGGGGCTGGGGTTCACAAAGCCACAGTTTACAGCTCAACTGTTAGACCAGTCTGGACTTAGGTTTTCTCTCAGATTTAYGACTTGTGAAACGCTCCTGTTAACAAGCTCACAGTTCTGGACTAACTGGGCTTTCTCCTAATGCTCTGTGTGGTGCAACACTTAGTCTTGTTCTAAAGTGATGGCTGTGATGAAGCATGAGAACACTCTGAAACCCAGACATATGTGCACTGTGTGGAAGAAGATAAAGCCGAATTAAGAAGGTTAAATAGCTCATGGTTATGAGATGTAAAAGCACATTTAAGATTCTGCTTCCAACACATGTGTAGTCACTTCTAAACTGAACAACATTAAGTTTGTTCAGCAAATGAAAAGTGTGATACTTTTGACAGTTATGTTGAGTCTCAATCTTCTCTGAAATGTTCATGATGCCCGACTGAGCTAAAACACAGCAACACTTATAAAAAATGTTTATATAATGTACAAACTACTACAATTAATGTTTTAAGAAAACAATACCTTGGAATTTAACAGATGCTACCTGTTAGATGCACACAGATAAGATTTTACATTTATTTTCAAATGTTAAAAATCCATTTTGTTGATCTGTGCTGCCACTTAAAGAGAATCAGCAGCGTCACTGCGTGTCCTAGAAGCTTCCTATCGTTGAAACATGTTGCAGTAAAGCTGTGTTTTCTGGCCTTTTCTTCCCACCTTACAACTGTAAATAATGACTTAAGTTACAACATGACTGTTGTTAGTAATGATTCTGAAATATTTGATTTGTTAATACATTTCCAGTGATAAACACAATGTTAATCGTGTTGCATTATCAGAACAATAAACACATCACAACTCGAAGTGACGAATTTGTCCACTTTCACGTCTACTTGTAACACTGATGAATATGATGGAAAAGATATTTCCTGAGTCCAGATTTTAAATGATCTCAATGGAGCCACTGAAGGCTGGAGCCAAAGATGGAGCTTTGTGAAGATGGCCACTGTGTATCTAACAGTGAGGAGGACAAAATCAACTACCTCGTCCTCCTGGTTGTCCTCCATCGATGAGGACTGCCGGCTCAGGTTCAAGTTCTCGGCAGCGTCCTGGTTCTTCCTCCGGATTGAGCTACGCGACTCGTCGGTGATACTCTGAATCTGAGCGGCGTGCCGAGGCCCAGACAGGCAGTGGTGGGTGAACAAGGAAAAGGGGCCAGTTGTCATTTAGCTTCGAGTTTGGCCTTACATTAGGTTGTATATACAGTACGTATGTCACAAAACGTTTGGATGTGGTGATGTGTCTGCCTGCCAATTCTAGGTCTGCATGTGTAAACGAACAATCAAAAGCATTCAGCATTAATAAACACCATGTTGGTTCTTGGCGTCCATGCAGCCTTTTATAGAGGAAACCGCAAAATGCAGCTTTAAACAATAACCCTGGTATGTTGAGGAGTACTTTACCTCTCTTTCTCTCTCAGTCTTGGAAAGGTGCATCTGTTTCAGCATTTGGGACCTCTGCTCCATCACCAGCGTTTTCTCATAAGTGAAGGCTGAGATGTCATTATCATGCTGCAAGGGTAAAAAAAACACAAAGTAACACAAGTTTAGATTATAAAATACAGAAAAGAAGCAGAAGAAGTATTAATTTCAGTGGTCTGAGTCTGGTTCTTGCTGTAAAAAACCCAGAAGAAAGGACAAGCTGCAGTAAGGTTATCAACATCTCACCATCTCTACTACTTCCACCTCAGCATCAAGTCGTAGGTGATAAAGGAACATCTGGAGGTCTTTCTTCATTTGAATGCTGTTGTCRTCCATCTGGGCTACAGTGAAGATGCGCATCTTACATTTTCTCCACACCTGCAGCCGGGAAAGACAGTAACATAGATGTACAAAGACATAGATAAAGCAGATTAGAGAGGTTTGGCACAATCAAAGACATTCTAGGTGTGCATGTCAAGAAACAAAGTAAAAATCTAAGCAACAACATGTTGATTCTTAAAGAGGTAAAAACAGTCCAAATGCGCCAACCTACCTTATGCTGTCGCAGCAGGAAGGGCAGCAACATCAACATGCCTCCGTCATGAACCACCCACCACACATCAATGGTGCCCTCCCCCAGGCGGTCTTGGTTGGTGGGAAAACTGTCCACGTTTTTAGCCACAAGTAAGGCCTGATGGGCTGCTGTGGTCTCACGGACTGTCTCTGGATGGACAGAGGAGATGATCATTTTTGCACATTTAGACATTCTATGTTTTGCTAGATTCCAAATTTGAAATGTCTCTTTTCAATTTTAAAACAACTTTTAATGCTAAGATGTGTAAATTCACTGCAACTATTTAATCTGCCACCATGAAAGTCCTCTAGTTCTGGCAAAACTGTTTGGATAACCGGGATGGGTAACCTTTTGAATGAAACACTGCACTGTCCACCCATTTATACATGCAATGTGCTTTTATTACATGTCAGAGAGGTATAACTGAAAGTTAACATCTATCCTGCAAAATTATTGAGAAATGTATTGCTACTAARACATCGTGGTTCAGACAACTTAGACAAGTAAAATGATTAGACGATGAATGTCGGTCTCAGCCAATCACGTCCTTTATTTTGAGGCACGTGTACCAGGTGTATGTTTTTTGGGAGAGATTTGACCAACTGCCACCTAATAGTAAAACAAAGCTATCTGAACTGCTATAGTCTATACTCCTGTTGGATATTTTGTGGTTAACAGTATTTTAGATACAGTATTATGTCTTGTACTTTGTGATTGATTTCAGTCATTGGTTGAAGTGCTTTAAACTGTAATAAAATCAACAAGTCTCCATCTGCTGTGCCAAACCTATGAAGTTTCTCCATGACTGCGGGTCATTGGCCTGCCTCCACGTTCCAGGCCAGCTCATCAGGACTGTGTTGTGCTTCATCCCTCCCAACCCTGCAGCCTGGATGAGGTGAGAGACGCCATCTCTTAGGTTCGAAGACACCACAACATGACAGAAGCCCTTGGTACGCTCGGCTGCCATGACAGCCTTGATGTTCTAAATGAGAAGAGAAGGACAGAAGTTAAATTTGCAAAAGAAACAAACCCCAAGACAATAAGTGAAAAAAACAATATAACAAACAGAAAAGTGATGGCAAAACTTCCACAAAGCTCCTGAATAGGTATTTATGGACACTGACAAACATGAACTGGTAAGAGTTATCAAAAGGGCTGTTTTAWTGGAAAAATATAGTTTTGGTTTGAGGAAACAAACCAGGTTTCAAAAGTTATATCAATTATCTATTTTTAGCCAGTCTGTGGTAGAATTTTCCCCTAAAGTTGGATAAAACTCTCTAAATGTTAAAAAAAAACTTGGCAAACATCCTGGTACTACACTAAATGACTCAATCTCCCAAAAATAAACATCTAGAATTGAAAAGCTGACAATGAACTGATATAGCATTCTGTACCATGTAAAATCACTTTATGAAAACAGTTCCAGGAAACAGTTTGTTCGCACCAGCTCATTGATTTTGAACTCTGTTTAGTACCGTAATTCCACGTAGGGTTTGTCTCCCTGTGTTTGATGCATTTAGTTTACCTGCTCAGCCTTCTTGGCCTCAGCTTCCTTTGTGAGGTAGGTTCCCTCTATAACATTCCCCACGATCGTCAGGCCTTTCCCCGCCTTCAGCTGAGTGGTGAAGGACAGCAGACGAGGGTGTTTGACTGCTTGATCTGAATCCAGGTTCAGAAGCACCAATAACTGAGGTCTGGATACAAAGAAGAGAGGGACAAAGTAAAAAACAACTGAAACATCACATTACCACTGCTGTTCAGAGTTGTGCAGCAAAACTTGAAAACTCAAGAAGATTCTCTGTTCTGATAAGACATTTTCTTAACATTATGTCTGCAGAAACACCTGCTGATCACCTGCCTCACACCATCCTAACAGTGAGGCATGGTGGAGGCAGCATCATGCAGTGGGGGTGTTAACAGCACAGAGCTCAGGACCTCAGACTGGACTAAAGGTTCACCTTCCAACAGGACAATSAACTCAAGGAGAAGTTTAGGGATAACTATAAAATGTCCTAGAGTACAAGACAGACTTGAACCACATCAAGCATCTTTGAAGAGAGACTTGAAAATGACTTCATTAATGGTTCCCATCTAGCCTGGTTAAAACCAAACCCAGTCCTTCACTTTGCTTCGTACAAGGGTCTGGAATTGCTGCATAGAGAATCGTTTCTTGCAGGAGGCGTGGCCTCTGCTGAAGCGTGTGTGTGTTGTCGCTGTGAAGGAGGCTAAGCTAAGAAGCTAACCGGAAATCGCGTGTGCTGTAAACAACCCTACTGAGAGGAGA